CTGGGAGGCGCTTCCTCCACCCCCATTCCTTCTGCGGGCTGAGGCGTCTCCCGCCTGCCCGCCGCCCTGGCTGCGGCTCTTCCTCCTGTCTCCCAAGGCGATTCCCACAGCCTGTCACAAAAGCGGAGCGCTGCCTAGAGGGAAGCGGTAAAATACGTCACACCAAATCTTGGTCTGGCCCAAGGAGGAGATGTCCTGGCTGCCCGGGCCCCCCCCCTGCTGCTCCCCCTCCAGCTGTTGGGGAGTGCGAGGGGAGGGCTCCACCCCCCCGCCCAGGACAGGCCGACCCGGCTGCAGGGCTCCTCCGGCCCTGCCGCGTCCTGGAAGGGGGCAGGGGTCTCCGGCAACGCTTCACCTCTCAGGAGGGCCTGAGGAGGCAGCACGGGGGTCTTCTCCCGGGAGCCCCGGGACAGGCAGCTTTAAAACCGCCTGGACCTGACAGAAATCGCACCAAAGCAGGGCTCTCCTTCGAAAGGGCCCGTTTGGGGAGGTTCCCGCTGCGCCAGCCTTGTCCAGACATCGCTGGCTTTCCAGAGCCGTGAATCGGAGATGGGTAGCCATACGGACTAGCCAGCCAGCCAACCACCAACCGATAAACCGCTCCGCCCCAAAACGGGGGGGCCCTGCGGCTGCAAACGTCCTGCCCCACCGGCTTCTCGAGGGGAAACCTTCAGTCCCGGGCGAGACAGGACCGCAAGGAACCAGCAGCGGGCGGACGTGGGTGGCGCCATTTACAGCTGCTCCTCTGCTTTCTGTACGGTGGGCAGAGTCAGCGTCCCCCACCCCACCCATTGAGCCCCGCCACCTGATGGGCCAGGAGGGTCCAGAGCCAAGGGGCTGATCGGAAAGGAGCGGATGTGCAGGAAGGAGAAGGGGCGGTGGACGTCCCAACCACCATCATCACTGGGGCTGACTGGATGAATAACCTGAAAAGGGAGTCTTGTTTGTTGCACCACAAAATTATACACAGAGCGATTGTATCGTTGCTGCTGAAACTTGGGGAGAGGTGGTGGAGGGGAATGGTACTGAAATTGTACTTGCACTACGGAGTAAAGGTGATCAGTTCAGTTCAATCCAGCTCCAATCCATGGTTCGATCGATCAAAGCTCAGTCAAAATCTATTTGGGTCACTGAATCTTTACCAGTTCAACTGTCACATCAAACCGTTCAATCCAGTTGATTTAATTGATTGAAAATTTGATCTGATTTAAAAAAGGCTCTTCCGAACACATGCAGAAGGCCTCCAAATTATCAGGTTAGTTCAGCAAGTTCACCTTTGCCAATAGAAAAAAGGTTCTTCCTGCGGTTTCTCAGACGACTCCTAGCCAGCTGGGAGGGCGCCCGAACATTCAGATCGATTTTTCATTCGCTCATTTTTCCTGCTTTCCCAATTTTTTAAAATACTGATTCCACATCAGCATCTGAGCCCCCTTTTCTAAAAGGCCTCCGTGGAAATGTATTAATATAAAATCAAACGTTCTGGTCCAAAAGAGCGGTACATAAACAAGGCATCTTACTCTTTTCCCGATTATACGGCATTCCAACTTCTAGACGTCTCTCTCCTTGCAGACGAGCCTCCTGGAGAAGAAAAGCAAGACCGTAAGAAGAACGTAGGGGACCCCCGAGTTACCTCTGGTGGTCTTCCAGCTACCAGGCGGCCCTTGCCCGCATCTCTCTCTAGAAGAGAAGGCCTGTGGGGCTGGGGCTTCACGCGCGGGGCGAGATCGAATGAAGGGCCGGGGAAGCTGCAGGAGAGCAATCAGGGGAGATCACCCTCCCCAGGAGGAAGATGAACTCCGACGCTCAGAGAAGGGGGCCGCCTAGCCCGACCCCTGCCCCGCCCCGCCCCTCCCAATCAAGCCAACTTCTGGATTCTCTAATAGAGCCCAGGGCATGTTCACCTGTGTGGGGCGTCCAAAGAGTGGGTGAGGCAAGGAGACCAAAGTCTTCCCTCTCACACAAACCAAGTTGGCTTGCGCGGTCATTGTGTGGAGAGGATCCCCCCGGGCCACCCCCTGTTCTGGAGCAGCAGAGGGGAAGCGCTGGCGGAGACGAGCGGGGATTCTGGGCTTCTCCCGGCGGCCTGGACTTCAGGAAGCTTCAGAGTCTGGCGCGGGGGGAGAGGTGGCAGGGGTGCCCACCGCTGCAGGAGGCGCCAGGCTGCCCTCCGCTCTGCCACTCCTCCTCGCGTTCAGCCAGAGTGGGCCGAAGAAGCCTCACGGTTACCTTTCCGGGGCTCCCCATAGGACAGGCCCAAGCGACCTCCTCACTCCACCGACTGAGCCCGAGCTGAGTCACGGCAGCGCATCGGAACTGGTATTCAGCGTTTGGGTGCACGCCTTCCAGGGTGAACTTATTCTTGGGACCCTCGGTAGGGAGGCTCCTCCACTCCTCCTCTCCCGCAATCCGATATTCCACCTGATACCTGGAGACGGAAGCCCCCCCATGGGCCACCGGATTAGCACTGATCTGGACCCCCTTCGGTTGGACTCGCTCAACCTCAGGAGGGGGAGGCCTGGAGGGCAACTCCAGGTGGGCGTTGACCAGCTTTCCATCTTCGTAGAGGTAAACCGAAGCGCCCGGGTTGCTCTCGTCACAGGCAGAGGAGACGATGAACCGAACGTCGCCTCTTCCTCTGTTGATCTCAACAAAGTCCAAAAGGGAACGAGCAGCACAGCGGATGTTCTGCTTCCTCTCCTCATCCTCAAACCACAGTTTAGACGTTTGCTTCTTTGAGAAAGACGTTACCGGTGCTCGTTCTGCCCTTCCTGCTAAATGTGGTCTCCGGAGCCACTCTTGCAAATCACTTAAATAAGGCTCCTCGCTGCGTAAGGAAGTAAACGTAAATGAGACGACGAGCTTGCTTTTGCGGTCAAACAAAATCCCATCCAGCTCGTTCTGAGCAGAGATGACTTCCAGGCCTCTGAGCTGCGAAAGGCAAAGCCCCACGAAGTCCACCTCCTGCTCCTTTCTGGCAAGAAACGTCTTCAGTGCCTGCCTATCGAAAGGGGTCTGGTTCAAGCGCATTAAGACGCCCCACAAAACAGCAGCGTCCTCCTTGCCCCCACGGACAGCCGGCAGATTCTGCCCTATCTCTTGCTGGAAAACCTGGCCGTGCCGCCGGCAAAGCCGCTGCAGCCGCTTGATTTTCTCCCTCACCTCCGGGAAGACAGAGGCAACGGGAGACTTTATCAGATCGTTGCACCTAAGGTCGACTTTCGTTAGCGACTTCAAGTGAGTCTCCACCTCCCTGAGCCAGCTCAGTGGGACATCGCGCACCACGTGGGCCGCTTGAGGATCCAGCTTGACCAGTGGATACAACCAGACCGTCACTGGCACCGCCTTCCCACTCGAGATTTGGGGGAGACCGGCACAGGTTTCCAGGGCATCTTGGAAAGTAGTTGGGTTATTCTGCAGAGGGAAATCGCCATAGAAGGTACAGGTGATCTTCCCCTCAATTTCTTTCTCCGCGTCATTCCACCTGAGGGAGCCTCTGCCTTCTGCTGCAACCGCTGGTACCTTCCGGACCATCCCCAGAAGACGCCCCTGGGTGTCCTGGACCGCTTCAGGCCTGGAAGCCTCACAATCAAACACAAAGAACGCGTGGGCCCCGTAGAGCACTGCCGTGACCACGTGCGTGGCTGACCCCTCCTCAAATGCTTTCTCGTAAGACACGCTCTTCCTGCTGAGATGGCTCTCTGCCAGGTGCTTGAATTCAGTAGTAGCCGAATGGTGAAGAGTCACGCGGGCATGGCTCGCGGACTGCTTATTGTCTTGCAAGTAGGCGGCCGATCCCCCCACTTCGAAAAGCCCCCCGAAGAAGCTGGCCCTCAGGGACCCGTTCAGGCCGAGGGCCGAGGCTTTGTCTCGGAGAGACTCAGATGCCAGGACTTGAAATTCAGCCTGGCGTTGGGCCTCCAGAGTTGCCTCCTTCTGCAGAAGATCAGCATCCCACAAAGTAATGCCTGCAGGAACGGTTTCATAAAAGTTGCCACTCATAATACATTTTAGGGCTTTCAATGAAAAAGAAAAATGCTTCATATGAATAAGCCCCTTCTCAATTTGCCATGTGGAACAGAAATGGCACAACAAGGGTTGCAGATTCTGAACAGGAAAGCTGTAGACGTTGGATAAACAAATAGGCAAAGCGAGCCAGCTGTGGTATTTTTGCACTTGTCTCAATAATTTATGACTCTAGGATTCTGCACTGCTTCTTGTCCTTTTATCTCTGAAAGCAGCACAGCTGCCCTCTGATTCTTGGGCTCCCTGAAGCACGCGCCAGACGCAGCTTCAGCAGAAGCGGGCCCCTTCCCCGGGAAAGAGGGAATGAGGTCCAGGGAAGCCCACCGTCTTCAGACCACATCAAGGCAGAAACTCCTCGACAGACGCCCGGAATACGGCAGAAAGCGGGCACGGGGGGCTCCCAACGAGTCCCAGGATAACCAGACGATCCATCCAGCATCTACGCCAATCCGGCCCTGCTCCTTCTCCTGGCTGATTCCTATCTGGTTCTGCATTTCCAGACTCAGGGGGCGGGGGGGACACGAGTTCTGCTAGCTGTTGACCCCCCGAGTCAGAGGGCCAAGTGAACCCTGACTTCTCTGACCCGCCCCTTCCCCAAGGAGTCCTTGGCTGCCTGGGGAGCACCGGAGTCTGGCCCGGTCATTAAGGGGAGGCTCCTGGGGGCCCCGGCTGCCTCCTCCTGCATCCCGGAAGGCCGGTGCAGCCCCAGTGTGGCGGAAGCCTTGCGGGGGATTTGGGGGAGACTTACTTGGGATCAGCAACTCTCTGTGGCAGTCGTAGAGCATCCCCAGCTGGAACGGGCGGCCCAGGGCTGGCATCTGGAGGGCACCTTCCATTCTGCCTTCCTGCCTGAAACCAACCACAGAGAGTGAAGCGCCGAACGTCCCTCGGAGCGAGGCCAGGGCCGGCTCCCCGGAAGGTGCAGGGCAACCCCTCCCCACTCCATCCATCGTCCAGACTCTGTCACCTTAGTGGGGGCCACGGCACG